AAAAAAAAAAAAAAAAAAAACCAAAACCAACAACTTTTGCTTTTGAGGAATAGTCCCTTGCTTACCCTAGATTGTCAGCAATAAGCCAAGAAGAATAAAAAAAGCAAACAAAAATGGAGGAGGTGCAGGGTTTTGAGACTATTTTTCATTTCATTTTTATTAATGCAGCTGTTTGATACTACCAGCATTTGAATCTGCAGTTTAACATGGGCATTTTTAAAAGCTGCTTGTGGGAGGGAGAGTAGAAAACCTTAGCCAGTATTTTTTTTCCTTTTTTTTCTTTCTTTTTTTTTTTAAAAAAAGCAGGCAAGGATCTGCTTTATTCCCCAATTTCCTTTTCCCAATCTGATCCTAGGATCCATTACAGTGGACTCCGCTTTCGTTGCCCATCTGCACTGCAGCATCCACAATAGCTCTTGTACAGGGTATCAGATATGTGCCTTTCAGTGCTGGGTTCAGATTGCAGTCGAAGTGCCGACTTTGAACCAGTGTACAAAAAAAAAGAAAATAAATAAAATAAAATAAAAATCCCAGGTGTTTAGAGGAGAGAGGAGGAGCTCTGTGAACTGGGAGAACCGGAGCACAGACAAGGGAGAAGGGCCTGGGTCACATTTCTAGTAATGCCTTTTCTTTTTATTTTATTTCTTGAGGTGGGGTGGGATTTCCTAAAAAAAGAAAATTATAAAAAAAGAAAAAGCCATTCCTGAAGTTGGGGAGGGGGTGTGGAGGGAAGAAATCTGATCATTCCTCAGTGCTACCTGTTTCTGTCCTGTGTGGCTGTTCAGCTGTAGACAGCAGGAGAATAAAGTACACTGAGACAGTAGTGGAAACAAACCTTGTGTCTGTCCTGTTTGTTTTGGGGCTTTTTTTTTTTTTTTGGTTTATTTGGGGTTTTTTTTTTTTTTCACTTTCAGTTCTCAAAGTAATTGCAGCGGCGGAGGCTTTACATGAGCAGGAGCTGCACCCGCTGCCCTCCCCTGTGCCTCTTGCCCCTCAGTCCCCTTGCTGCCTGTAGAGGGAGGGCCAAATACCGATTTTATACAATTTTTTAGAGGTGATTTTACTGCTTGGCGGATTTAATTAACAGAATAAATCCTGGATTTTTTTTTTTTTTCTTTTCAAAGTGCCGTTTCAGCACTAGAATCGAAACACGCTTGTCTCAGCAGAGCCCTGCCTCAGCGGGCGCCCTGGGCTGGGCATCGCTCGCCGGAGCCACGCGGCTACCAGCGGCAGCTCTGCTCGGCCGCTTCACGTCGGGCCTTTTCCTTCCAAATCCATCCCTTGGTGCAGGTGGGGGAAGAGTTTAATCTCCAAAAGCGCCCGTTAACACCATCCTGGGCCTTTTCCTTCCAAATCCATCCCTCGGTGCAGGTGGGGGAAGAGTTTAACCTCCTCAAAGCGCCCGTTAACACCATCCTGAAGTTGGAGCTCCGAACCGAGTTCCTCGATTAACTGAATTCTGTGGATTTGTCAGTCGTACCCAGCGCAGGGGCCGGCGCTTCTGCCTCCTGACAGCGAAGCCTGTGACACACCATCACCACGTCACCTCCTCGCTCTCTCATAACGCTTGGAAAGGACCCAATTCCTTAACAAAACGGTAGGACTGATTTATTTACCTTCGAATTTTTTTATTTTTTTTTAAAGCAGCTTTATTTTTGTTTTTCTTTTTTTTTTCCCTTTTTTTTTCCTTTTTTTTTCTTTCCTGCTTCGTTTTCCCAGCGCCCGCCACGTCTCCTCCTGCCAGCGTTCTTCCCCCGCCGCGGTGGCTCGGAGAGACTGTGTGGGTGTGCGCTCAATGAGTGACGAGCGCCCGTTTCCTCTTTGGGGGAGCCGGAGGTGACAGCAGTGTGTCATCAGCCATATGTGCCACTCCGGCACCCGAGGATAGCGGGGCCGTGCGGAGCTATTTCTGGGAGCAGGAGCTCGGGCTCTTCTCCTGACGCTGGATTTTATTATTTAGCATCTTTCTGGTGGCTCGAGGTGAGCGGGCTGATGTGCTGAGCTCCCCCCGGGCCGGCTGCGTCCCGCAGCGTGAGGATAAAACCTGATTTTCCTGCGGCCTTGGGGGGGGGGGGGGATAAAAAAACCCAACAACTTGATTTTCTAGCCCTGGAGGTGGTGCCGTGGCCTCGGTGCCCTCTCGCAGTCGCTGTCTGGCACGGCCGGCGCTTGCTGAACGCAGCCGTTTCCCACCCGTGGGGTGGCACAAAGCGCCGAGGGGGGTGACGGGGACGGTCAGCGTGGCCCTTGAGCTGGTGTCGCCACTCGAGTGAAACTTTCTGGCTGCGGGGAGCTGAATTTTACAGCTCTTAACCCTGTTGCTGAGGCGCTGGCTGCGAGCGCAGCGGGTGGTTTCGCGCCGCGTGTGTCGGTGGAAAAACACCATCTCCTGCAAAACCTGGGCCCTGCGCGCCCGCGGGGATCCAAAACATCGGGGAGTCTGGATGCAGGATGTCCAACGTCCCTCCTGCGAGCACCCAGGAGCTGGATGGGCCCAACCAGGCCTGGTGAAGGGCTGTGCTGAGCGGGGACGGGCTCCGGCGAGGGGCTTTACGCTCTCCGAGCAGCTTTTCCCTGCTCGTGCTCCCCTGGATCCTTCTCCCCTTATTGCTCCCTGGCCAGGGCAGGGGATCGGGCAGCAGCAGGACGAGGACCCGCAGCCCTTCACCTGTGTCCTGCCCCGCTGAGCTCGAGCCTACGGTGAGGAAACGCCGAATCCCACCGCTGCAGCCCTCCGGTGCCGGATAACACTGTGGTTTTCTCCGCCCGGGCGTGCGGCTGCCTCTGTGTTTTAGTGGAGTTGTTCCGTGCTCGGAGCTTTTGGGGAGCCCGGAGGGTGCTGGTGCTGCTCCTGGTTGCTGGGTGCAGCCCCTCACCGATGCCGGCAGCGGGCTGGGGCTGTTCCTGCAGCCTTGGCACCCAACACACAGGGGTGGGCACCCCATGGAGGGTGCTCGGGCACCCCGGGGGATGCCTTGGGTAGGTGGGAGATGAGCTCGGTGCTGCCTTGGAGCAGCACTTTGGGGCTTTTCTTTCAAGCCAGGGCTGTTCCCCAGCAGGGCTGGATAAACTGGAAAACAGTGGGAGGGGGCGATGGGGGTCTCGCCGTGAAGGTGCCTCTTCCTCAGACCTGCCCGTGGCAGCAGGCGGGCAGGGATGGAGGTTTGTGCTGGAGCCTGTTGGTGGGGAGGAACCAAGGGATGAATTTACTGCTCAGCCTTGTCCCGGTGGCGGCCTGAGCTGATGGGGGTGGAAGGGAAAACCTCAGCAGGCTGCAGGCTCACGCTGCCAGGCTCATTTTTATATACGTTTAAAATCCCAGGGGGGGATTTTAAGTGTCCCCTGCCAAAAGGCAGCCAGGCTCGGTTTTTTTGTCCTTGGTAATAACCGAGGAGCCCAGTGCTGCCTCCACCATAATTCTAATCAATAATTACGCTCAGGCAAGTTAAGCCTTTGGCCGAGGGATCTGACGGGCTCCTTCGTTCCTTCTGAGTGTGGTTAATGGGGGTAACAAATGAGAGACGGTCACTGAGGATGATGGAGGCGACGTTTTGGGATTCGACGGCTGTTTCCATCACAGCCCAGGCCTTGTGTGAACCCGGGGAGTTTGCAGCCTCCCAAGTCACTCGGGCTGTTGGTGCAGGCACAGGGAGGGGGGGGGCGTCAGGAGAGGTTTCTCTTCCCCTGGTCTGCAGCATTCCCTGCCGTGGGCCCTGTGGAAGTGCGCTGAGTAGCTGCCTCGAGCGTCCCCAAAATGCATTAAATAATTCAGTTACAGAGTTAAGATGGGGATCTGGGAGAGGGGCAGGCAGGAGGGATGCTTGGAGATGCGGGGGGAGGCAGCCCCCACCCAGCTGCAGGGTGAAAGCAGGACAGGGAGCACGAGGGAGCATCCCTGGCCGGCAGCGGAGGCCCGTGTGACATTGGGGGGGTTGGAGAAAACGTGGGTTTGAGCAGAATTTTGAAGCAACTGAGAAGCTGGCGGAGCTCCTGGGCGGGGGAGGTGGGTGCTGGTGTTTCCTCTGCTGCGAGCAAAGCTGGGAGATGAAAGGTGAAGTCTGATGGGGTGAGCGCCTGCATCCCTGCCTGCATCCCTGCCTGCATCCCTGCCTGCATCCCTGCCTGCCTGGAGCAGCCAGCGCGGGGGCTCACTGTTGGACAAACACCTTGGGATCGCTCTGCCTGGTGAGTTCGTGCACGGACACTGCTGGGATTTTACCTGGGTTTGAAATAATTACCGTGAAATCTGGCCGTAAACTCCCGTCGCTCCGGGCACCGCATCACTCACCCACCGCAC